AACAACAACAACACACATGCCCACCTTCTCTCCCCCCAGTACCTACCCTCATCCATTTTCTGTCTCTCTTTACTAGTTATCAATTTTTTCTAATGTCTTGGTACAAAGTTCACACATACAAGTGATGAAAGAAAAATTGGAACCATTAACTATTTTACTGCACATGAAGTTAAACTCTGTAATCAGCATATTTAATTGTTAGCCTAAATTAAAATTACACATTTAGTTCAGAAAATGATTTACAGTAGCTAAATTGGGAGAGACATGGCCATTTATTTGAAAATGTGTTTTGTTTTCTAGAAGCCAACAGTGTGGAAAACCAAAAACCAAACTAAACTCGCATCCATTGAGTTGATTCTGACTCATAGTGACCCCCATTGGGTTTCCAAGGTGGTAAATCTTTTTGGAACTAGATTGCCCCATCTTCCTTCCATGGAACAGCTGGTGGGTTTGAGCTGCCAAACTTAGGTTAGCAGTCAAATGCCTTAAACACTAACTGTAGCATAATCTTAATCTTCAGAAAGATAAATATTCAGATCAATGAGAAAAGTGCTATTTCCACTTTGAGCTTTTTGGCCTGCAGCTAGAATATTTTATGTAGTTTTATCACTTAAAGTAACTCAAGAGAGGCTTTATAGCTAAGTTTTTGAAGAACTGTTACCTGGAAGAGGCAATAGACATTTCTTGCATTGCTTTGAAGGTACCGCTTTGTGACAACCAGACAAATACAGAAATGAAAGGGACTGTCCTTGAAGTATTGAGCACCTGCTGTAATAGGTGTGCAGAGGCACCTATCTCCATCTTATATATTCTTGAACCCTATAGATTGCTTGCTTTTATTCTCTATCTCATTTTAAGATAAACCTCTTGTATACTGTTTATAGGTGTTAACTAAAAATGTGTTTTTCAGGGTAAGCATCCTCAGGTTTACTCTTCTGATTTTAGACCATTAGTCATTCTTGTTGTTCTTATCTCTCTAGTAATCAGTTCTCCTGATAACATGGAGGAGTATTTGTCATTGAATGGTATGTTTTCTAGCCACGCCAGATGTTAGCTGGGACTACTGCTATTACCTATTTCTGACTATAGAACCTATAACTTCTCATGTTCCACAATTTTAACAAAATACTTTTAAATTGTTTAATACCTGTCTCTAGAAGGCAGAGACCAGCACTTTATACAGTGCCTGGCACATAGTTGGCATATTTGAATGAATGAATTTCACCCCGTTTTGCATGTTTTCACAAAGGTAACAGTGGTTCATATCTTAGTTACTTGAAACATGCAAAACTTTCTGACTAATCCTTTGTTTCTATACAGGAATTTCGGCAGAAGGTTATGCTAGGAACTCCTTTCCTAGTTATCTGGCTGGTTGGGTTTATAGCAGACCTAAATATTGATTCTTGGCTCATTAAAGGGCTAATGTATGGTGGCGTTTGGGCTACAGTACAGTTTCTTTCAAAGTAAGTGTGTTATTTTTAACTATATTTTTAACTGTACAGGAAAGAATATAATATATATACCCTGCTAGGATAAAAAAATTAATGTTTTATATATTTGGAACACTGCTTTTATGTGAGATATTTGATCTTTAGTGTGTAGAAATCTTTGACAAGTTAATATGTGAAATCTTAGATTTCTTAACACTATTATTTAAATGATTCTAAAGATGCTTTCCATGTGACAAAAGTCTAGCATATAATTTTTAAGGTTAAAATACATTTTTAGACATATTTAAAACATTTTAATAAAACTGAACTTAGATTGATAAATTCTAGCATACATATTGTTTGCATATTTTTAGGTATGGTAATAATAATGGTTGAACTCAGCTTTTCATAACTCTATCAGAAATTATATTTTCTTTAGGCATGAGCAGAGCAAGGGAGAGGTTTGATTTTAGTAGCAGCGTAGAGTCTAAGGATGACTATCAAGTAGGCTGAGTGCTTTTATTCTCTTCTCTTTTTCCTTTAAACACTGTGATCATTCTCTTTTCCTTCTTCCCCTATGTTCTGTTGGTCCTGCATCCACCACACTTAGGCAGATCCCCAGCACCAGAACTTTGCACCTAATTTTCATTTCTTTAGCATCTTGTTCTTACTTGAATTTCAAAAAAGAAGTCTGAAAATAATTCATAGGTGAGAATGACTAGTAAACTACTAACGTGTTAGTTCTTAAGAAAGAGTTTAATTCTAGATAATTAATCTCATTTTAGTGTTTCTTGCAGCTCAGTGAGATTTAAACAGAAAATGTGTAGTCTGCAAAGATGGTTGATCCTGCTAATGTTTAATAAAATTTATTAGTATATATTTTGCCTAGATTTTAAACATTATAAATTCAGACCTTCACTTCCACTAAATTAGCCAGTTCATTTAAAAATATGTGCCCAAGGCTGTACTGAAGTATATATTTAAAGAGTAATAATGATGAAATGTAGAGAACTTTGAACTCATTTGTTAAAATTGTAGCACATCTTTGGTCAATAATATGCTGAATAATAGAATTACTATGTGTAAAGTGAACAATTGCTTTTCAGAGGAGTACACGGAAATTCTGAAATTGAAAAGTACATGAAATATAATTTTAATTCTTAATGAATTAGAGTTTCAGAATCTTGCTGAGTCAGTCAGCAGTGAACTTATTAGTGATTAGTATAAAAACAGTATCAGTATGTAAGCATTCTCAATTCTGGTTAAACTGTTGCTTACACATGCAGAATATAATGTAATCTTCATTAAAATGAATAAATACTTTTTCAATGAAATATAGAGCTCAAACTTTATAAAATTCCTGTTTTACAGATCCTTTTTTGATCATTCAATGCATAGTGCATTGCCTCTTGGAATATATTTGGCAACCAAATTCTGGATGTATGTGACATGGTTCTTCTGGTTTTGGAATGATATCCTTTGGTTGAAAAGGTCCTATCTAGAGCAATTTTTGTTTGTTATTTAACATTAGGGCTGAATTATTCATGATTTGCAATAGTAAGACTGTTCCTAGAAAAAGAAAAAATGTGAACTAATCTAAATATTGTTTTTAAATTTTAATGCATTGCTTTTTAAAGCTGCTTTTAGTAACTATCACTAATAATAATAATAGTTGCCATTTAGTGATGTCTAAAGGGCATTTTCTTAAATACTTTCACTCATTAAATCTACATTTCATTTCCATTTAATAGATGGAAAAAGGCTTCATGAGGTTAAACTGTTAGAGTTGCTCAAGGTCACGTAGCTAGTCTCTCAAGCTGGAGTTGAAACACATATTTGTCTGACTCCATAACTCATGTTCCAAACCTTTCTTTTTTTCTCTGATTTTCATGTTTTAGTATCAAACTATTTTCTCTGAATATTTTCTTAATATCACAGCTTATTATTTTCCTGCAGTTGTTGTTGTTGTTGTTATTTGCCGTCGAGTTGGCCCGTAACAATTTTCTCTCATAGATACTTCATATCTCTTTTACTTCATGAAATTATGTAACACTGAATCTCTGTACCTGTTATTTATGCATGACTTTTAAAATCTAATTACTGACTTCAGTAAATTACTTCAGTATACTTCTTACAAATAATATAATGTGAATTGCAAGTGTGTTTGTATAAATGTGTAGATCAAAGAAATAAGACCAATGTTAAGTTTTGATATGTTTACATTAAAAAATTCAGTGAGTAAGATGGTCTGATTATAATAAAGGCACATGTTTTATAAATACCTGTTAATAATTCTTGTTTTACATAGTATGCAGTTTTTGGTGACTTGTAAGTGCACTGAACAATTTTAATTAACACCTGGCTTCAATTCACAATCTTGTGTTTATAATTTTTTTCTTTTTGTTGAATTGCCTTGTAGTTTAATTGAAAAGCAAAATGTGTTTATTTAATTTTTGAGACATAAAAACAATTACAACTGTAGCTACACATGTAATTCTTATGCTTTTACAGCTTTATATGACTATTTTCAGAAAATACAGTACTTCTTTATTCTTTTCATAGTGGAAGTATCTACTAAATTCTTCCATGTGGCAGTTTTCACTACCTCATTTTGGCCTTGTGTTATACTTTGACATAAAAGTTGTTTTATTAGAACATTTAATATAAGAAAGATTTGCTTGTTTTCATTACCTCATCTATTTTAAATTTATTAAAAGCACTGACCTCTGAAGTGACTTTAGTATCCAGACATACTTTATGTTTCCTAAATTGGGCATTAAATTTTATGTTCAATAAATGGTCAGATTCACATCTCAAAATAATTTTAGGTTGTTACTGTACTCCTAATCTGAATTATGCATGTAAATGGAGAAAAACAGGAAAATTAATAAATTACTAAAAAAAAAATGAAAACCTTATGCCAGAGAGTATTACATGGTATAATTTTAATTTCCCTTTCTTTCTCTTTTCTGTATTTGGAGAGGGTAAAAAATAGCTATGCAAATATTATTAAGCTGGGGAGTTGAGAATATGAGAGGGATTTTGAAGGGAAGGGCCTGAACATTCAAGGCTATTTAATTTGCCCGATTTGAATAATTCTGCCATTAAGTGGGTTGGTGTGTACAAGTCATTTTTTAATGCATTGAATAAATTACATGGATTAATTTAATTTTAAATAAAGAATGCCAAGTTTTATAAAAGAAAAATAAAACTTTTACTTGAGAATATAAATATATATAGCTTAGAACGTATCTTATAGATAAAAAGTGTTAAGTAAGTGTTTGCTGTTATTCATTCATGAGTTTTAAAATCTAATTAGGTTTTACCTAAACAGAAATTAAAATGTATATTCAGAGTTTCTTTTATTTGAATGTCATGTATATGATACTTTGGAATAGAGAATGAAATCACAAATAATTTTAAATTCTGATTAAAAAACAAAAAACCAAGCCCACTGCCATCGAGTCAATTCTGACTCGTAGTGACCCTGTTGGGTTTACAATGATGTAAATCTTTACGGAAGTAGATTGCCTCATCTTCCTCCCAAAGAGCAGCTGGTGGGTTTGAACTACTGACCCTCTGATTAGCAGCCAAATGCCATATGCGCTGCACTGTCAGAGCTCCTTAAATTCTGATTATCCACACAAAAACTGTACACTACTCTTATGTTGGGAGTTCTGGTGGTGTAGTGCCCAAGGCATCTGACTGCTAACCAGAAGGCTGGCAGTTATGTTATAAAAGGACTATATCTATAGATCCTACGTGATTTGGGAATTAATTTTTTCAGTATTAAACTTCTGAAGTCAGGGAGAGGTGCTTAAGAAACCCGTAGGAAGGGAACAGAAAAGAGCAACAAATGTTATAATGGAAGTACAAAGGAAAGAGCCATGAGGTTCATGTTAAAAAGTATTAATTAAGGTACAGAGATAAAATGGCACCAGCTGTCAGAGACCACCTCTCTTGTTGACCTTAGACTCTTTTCAGTTACTTCTACCACTTTGCTCATGCAGCTTGCAACTACATACATAATTAAATGAGTGCAGATTAGACTAGTATTGGAAAGTGGAATTGTAAACTTTATTTTGTTTCTCATAGTTAGGTACCCAAGTATGTTACTTTACTAAAAAAAAAATTTGTGGTGATAATAAATTTTACATTGATAAAAGCTATTTGTCTTAATAAATAAATCTTATATTCTGTTCTTCAATTCATAAAGTAGTTATTCCTCCATACACATATTTATTCAGTGCTTTTTGGTGTATGGTTCTTTCAGATATATTTTATTTGGTTCTCAGAACAATTATTTGAGATTAAAAAAATAAAAAACACAAGTCAATACTGTTTTCTAACTGAGAGAAAGATTAGGTTCAGAGAAATTCTGTGTCTTGCTCAAAGCTACATATTGTTGTGAGTTGCTGTTGAGTCAACTCCAAGCCATGGTGACCCCATGTATAACTGAATAAAACGTTACCTGGTCCTGTACCATCCTCATGATGGTGGTAACAGACAGTGTTCAGTTGTGATCCATATGATTTTCACTGGCTAATTTTTGGAGTAGATTGCCAGGGCTTTCTTCCTAACCTGTCTTAGTTTGCAAGCTCTGCTGAAAACTGCCCACCATGTGTGATCCTACTGGTGCTGGAAAATACTGGTGGCATAACTTCCAGCATTGTATAGCAGTGCTCAAGTCAACACAGTTAGACAAATTGACAGTTGGGTGGTGATCAGATAGCTAGGTAATTATCAAGAGTTTGGTCTAGAGCTCAGCTTTTTCATCCAATTCAGTCTGTTTTCAAATGTTCCTATATTATACTCTGAACATAATTTTAAGTTGGTATAGCTTTCCTAGAAAATAATTGGTGACCTGTACAAAGAGGTTTAAAATGTCTCTTTAATTTTGCACTTTGGCACTAGAGTTCTATCCGTTTTTGTAGCCTGGGATAAGAGAGTGCAGTTGTCAATTCTTGTTCAGGGACCTGGGTCTTCTAAGTTCTAGCTCTTCTAAGATCCTGTTAAAAGTTTTGACTGAAAAAAAAAAAAAAGTTTTGTCTGAGATTCTACACAGAGATAGAATGATCCTGGAAATTACTCCTTACCTGGTACTACCTCAGTTTGATTAAGTCACCTTGTTGATGGTTAAGTTCTGGTACTTCAGTGGTACCAGAGACCATGCCTCTGATGTATTTTCCAGAAGGGGTTTTCTTTTATAACATCTTACTGTGATTTCAGTGAAAGTTTACTGAGCACATTGGTTTCACATTCAACAATTTATATGCATTTTGTTTAGTGACATTAGTTGCAGTCCCCTCAATCTAAAAGTACTCTTCCCACTTCCTTTCTGAGTTCCCTGTTTCCATTAGTCTTTCTTTTGTGTCTGAAAGGGTTTTCCTGAACATGTTAATCCTTTTGTATCCAAATTGAATGGAGCTAGGAGTGTATGAGGGCCTGGATGAGACTGATGAGAATTCCCAGACTATGTCTTCTCACCTATATTTTTCCATGCCATTTACTAAAACTATTGGTAGGTGAAAGAGGTATGAAGAGCTACTCCCCCCAGGCAGCCTGTCTCATCAGAATCCTATCCTTTCCTTGGCATCCAGTTTTGAGTTTTATAGTAATATCCGCTTTCCTTTTTTAGCTGTTGCTGGTAGCAATTGGTTTGTTTGGTTTACTGTTTTTTGTTCGTTTTGTTGGGTATTTCTTAAACAAGAGCCCTGATGGAGTGGTTAAGTGCTCAGCTGCTATAACTGAAAGGGTGGTGGTTCAAACCCACCAGTGGGCTCTGTGGGTGAAAAGACCTGACAGTCTGTTCCCATGAAGATTGCAGCCGAGGAAATCCTGTGGGGCCACAATTGACTCAATAGGCAACAACAACATGTTAAAGAAATGTAGTATATGATTCATTCTAGTCTCCTAACTTGAAAGTGTAGTTAAGATGTGTTTCTTTAAAAGTAATCAGGTTGGAGTTGGAATTCACAGCAGGCATCAAAATAACATCTAAATAGATTAAAGAGTTAAATGTAAAAAAAGTAATTCCATAGACATTTAAAAGAAAACAATGGCAATTTAAATATTTGTTTTATCTCTAATTGGAGAAGAACCGTTTAAGCATAAAATCATACAAATTAAAACAGAAGAACACTTCTTTTGCCTCTAAAATTGGCAGTATTTTTATTTTCTTTCAGTCGCATTGCTGCTAGGTTTATAAATTGGTTTATCTTTCTGGAAAATAATCTGGTAGTATAAAAATATACATCAAGCCTTAAAAATGTTCACATAGAACATCTTTCACAAAGACACTGTTCACAAAATATTTAATGATGTAGAAAATTTCACTGAGTGGTTGGAAGAGACAGAATAGCATAGGTAATAGGAACCTGGGTTTTAACACTCCTTCTTTAACTCACATTGTAACCCTGGCCTATTTAACCTCTGTCTCAGTTTTGTCATTGTAAAATGAGGATAGCAGCAGGACTTCTTAGGGTTCCTGTGCAGTTTATATGACACATCCCATTGCCCTCTAGTCAGTTCTGACTCACAGTGACCCTGCTGGACAGAGTACAACTGTCCCATAGGGTTTCCAAGGCTGTAAATTGTTAAAGAAGTGGACTGCCACATCTTTCTCCCATAGAGAACCTGGTGTGAATGCACTGGTGCCCTTTCAGTGGTAGCAGCTGAACAGTTAACAAATATTGTGGCACTAAGGCTCTTAAATGACACATAGTGATTAATAAGTGTTACTTACTTTATTAATCTTAATAATTAAACAGTATGATCTCAATTATGGTTAAAAATGCAGAATACCGAAATAAGTTATTTCCATTTTGTGGAATTGTTTTTGTCTTTATATTTTCTAGTGTTTTCTAATGCATACTTTATTTTTTATATTGGGAAAAGAATTTTTTTTGCAGTTTTACAAAAAAGCAGTCATGCCATTTGTACAGTGTCTGTTTCACTTAGCTGGTCTGACCTATTGCTAAAGCACTAAAAACATCTAATCTTTTTATGTGTAAAGAAAAACAAGTTTCTGATATTTAATTCCTTAATATCCTTTTCAAATAATAGTCATTTATTGAGCTGTTAGTTGGCCCCATATAAATTTCATCTAAGTTATAAGAACATGACCTATTTATTTACCTATAAGCCAATTTTGAAAGTGCTATGTAATAAGTAAAGGTGCTGCCTCTGACTAGTGTCAAGAGTTTAGCATTCCTTGCATCTACCCAGCTTTATTCTTACAGAGATTTTTAGCTGTTGGAACACCTTAAAGTTTACTTGCTGCTGAGTATACCAGTGTATTTTTGGAATAATGATGGTGAAAGCTGGAGGTGGGTGGGAATAGGAAATTAGAGAAAAAAGGAAGGAGAATTTACTTTTGAATACTTTCTTTGCCAAACACATTTTAGAAACTATATGGAAGGTGATAATGAATGCACTAATCTTTTTTCCTCCCCTTTTTCTCTTGTATTTTAAGTTCTTTTAGTGTTTTGGCATTTACCAAGCAAAAGTTGGATTATTTGATTCAAGAAGCTGTTCTTTCTCTATCTGTGCTTCTTAAGAACTGTAAACAGTGTCTCCATATGATAATATCCCCCAATCATACAAAAATCTTGTATGAAAAAAAAAAATCTTGTATGATTGTACCCACATAAAATCTTGAAAATGGTATTTGAGTATACCACGTGTTTTGTATCTCAGAAATTTATTGCTCTAGCAATATTACTTTATTTTTCCTGTTGTTGTTGTTGTTATATGCCGTTGAGTCAGACCTGAGTCATAGCGACCCCTCCTTGGGTTTCCAAGGCAGTATCGCTATGGAAGTAGATTGCCTAACGTTCCTTCCGAGGATGGCTGGTGGGTTTGAACTGCGAGCCCTCAGGTTAGCAGTCAGGTGCCTTAGGCACTACGCTACCAGAGCTCCCTCAAGAAGGTTACAGACATAAAAATCAGGCTTTGGTCACAAGCATGTTTAATGCAACCACAATAAGAAAAAAAGGTTCTGAAACACATACCCCATTTTAAGAAACTCAGTGGTTTAAGGAAAAATAGGTGGCTTCCAAGTAAGCGGACATACATGCTAGCTAGCTTTCAATACTAGGTATTACCTTCTTCTCAGTTTGTAGCCATCAGCTATGACATATCTTTTCATAACACTGTTATACTTAATCCAAAAATTAAACTGGTATTTATAGCCAATATATAATGGGCCTGCATTTTCTGTAAAGCATCACTATTCATAGCTTTTTAAATCAATTTAAAAGGAGTTTGGTGGCATAGTGGTTAAAGCATTTGGCTTCTAACCAGAAGGTCAGCAGTTTGAACACACCAGCCGCTCTGCACGAGAAAGATGAAGCAGTCTGCTTCTGTAAAGATTTACAGCCTTAGAAACCCCATGGAGTAGTTCTGCTCTGTCCTAAAGGGTTGCTATGATTCAGAATTGATTGACTCTACAGCAGTGGGTTTAATGCAGCGTAAGAACACTTTGTTCATTCTCTCAATCTCCTTTTCTTGCCTTGGAGTAATTTACTTTTGAATATATAAATACATAGTTCACCACACTATGTGCAACACAGTAAACCCTGACCAACCCTTAAAATATGAAATGAAAGACATGATTATATTTACTAATGAATACACCAAACCCTTAACTACAAACACTATATTCAGTCCCTGTAAAGCCATCAAATGTTTGAAAGATTTTTAAATATGAACAAAAGGGTCTAGTTTTAAGAATTGAGTTATAAATGGGTGAGATCACTCCCCATTTAATACAGAGGAATCCTAGTGGTGTAATGGTTAAGTGATCGGCTGCTAACTGAAAATTTGCTGGTTTGAACCCACCAACTGCTGTCTGGGAGAAAAGACTTGGAGATCTGTTTCATGATGTTACAGCCTAGAAAGCCCTGTGGGGGCGGTTCTACTCTGACACATAGGATCACTGAGTTAGAATCGACTGCAGCACAAGAAAAACGGTATTCTTCAAAATCGTTTTTGATTTTCACTTATATTTATAAATGCCTGGTACATTTCTTATGTTTTCATTAAATAGAAAATTATAAGCATAGAAACTGTTCTAAGCACGTTTATAAATATCTTTCCTAAAATTAAGATAAGTTTAAGTGTATTCAAAAACGTTAAATATTACATGTTCATTGGATTCTTAACCCTACCCCACCCCAAGTGATAAATAATCACTATTAATTTTTGGTAACCATTCTTTTAGACCTCTGGCTAAACATATAATATGTAGAATAAAATTTAAATTAAATGAGGAGGATAAAAGGCAAATTTTTCCTTTTTTTAATTCCCTGGAGTTAAGAGTAATCTTTTAAATAGACAAGTATGAAATCAGAGGTACTTGATACATATGTTGTTGTTAGGTGCTGTCGAGTTGCTTCCCACTCATAGCGACCCAGTGCACAAAAGAACAAAACACTGCTCGGTCCCGCCACAGCTCCATGATCCTTCCTGTACTTGAGCCCATCGCCACAGCCACTGTGTCAATCCATTTCATTG